TATATTCTTATTTTATTCTTCTCAGTGGCTTCCTGAAGCTTAAAAGGACTACCAAAACCCACACTTCTATATGTAGAGAAAATCACCTCTGCGTAAATATGATCCTCGTCTTGAATTTGTATGAGCTTTTGAAGAATCTGAATTTCAGTCCCTAAAAAGCCATGATAGTCTAAGCTAAATAACAGTCCTTACTCAAGCAAAGCCACCCTTGAAACAAGGCATTGTCTTTGTGCTTGAAGGATTCCCGTTGCAATAAGCCACAATCTGAATCATTATCACTGCAAAAAAAGGCGCAGAGCCGCCACTCAGAAATACTGAGGCTGGAGCAGTGGCCCGCATGAAATTCAACAGGAACAAATGCAAAATCCTGTATCACAGCTGTGTTGGCTACGTGCTATGTTCCTGCGAGGGTCAAGAACCGCAAAAATCTGTCATAGCAATGTCGCTGCAGGCCTTAATGCTTGGTTGGACTCACGGTTCTTCAGGAGGATGGAGTGAGGGAACGGAGGGGTAGACCTGTGAGACAAATAATATGGTGAAAGAGTGCACATTGTGGGCTTTTTTCTCCAGCTGCTGAAGTCCTCTTTTTAGTCATAACAGAGTTTCTTAAAAAAAACCCTGAAAAGTGAAGAAGATTTAATGCCTAGTCCTTTGATGCCCTAGTCTGTTGAAACATGGTGAATGGTAATAAGAAATTGTTTTGGCATTCTTGTGCGGTGGATTACGAATGGCACCAGGAATAAGGAAATGTGTTCTGATCCTTGTATGGACACTAATTCATTCAATGATATCAAGTTAATTTCTTCATCTCATTACATCACAGTTACTCCATTTTCGAAATAAGGTTGATGAATCTCCAGCGTTGTTAATCATCTTGAGATCTGCAGTTATAAAACAACAACAGCATAGGCAGATTCAGGATGACAAATGATCCACATGTAGTTTCGTGATCCTGGCCTATGGCAAAAGCTGTATGTTGCCATGATAGTTTATTCAATAGCCTGTAGCAGTTGCTAAGCAAGCACTGTAGATTATGAAATAACTAATACTCAGAATTAAAAACTGTGGAAAGATTTATCAAGTTCACCACAAGACCTCTCTAAAGACTTCCTCAATTTCTTGTTTGGAGAGCATTTTAAATTCATCACCATCATCATTATTTTTATGTTGCTAATTCCCAGAGCCCTATTCAAGTTTTATACATTGAAAAGAATAACTGTATTATCCAAGTAGGTCTTCAGAAATTGACTTCTTCATTTATTTGTTACTCAATATGTATGGTCATTTTGTGGTTGTTAGGGTCTGGCTATAAATACAAAAAACTGATTATCATGTATTCATCACTGTCTTATGTAGGTACTATCTAGCTTAGCTTTTCACTAGTACTTAAAAAACATGATTCCCTAAAAGCTTTTTCTCATGACATGAGAATGTTCATGCACAGGAGCAAGATTTACAGGGCTGGGCCCAAAGGTAGCAAGTATATTGAGGTTCTGTAGCTTTTGAAAAAAAGAAGTAGGAAACTTTATCTCTCTGCATGGAAGACAGGTCCTGAACATATAATCAGTGGCAGTCTCTATGAAGACAATCCTTTTGCATTGAAACATGATCCAAATGGGTGTCAGAGGCATGTTCGCCATCCACGAACATTAACTTCAACTCTCACACGTGGCATGCTGAAGGAGAGTCCAGTGTTTTTGTATTAAATTAGAGGAGAATGGATGCATTCCTGTTTCTAGAATCAAGACCATCCAGGCCTTTAAGACATTGTCCAGTGGCTTTGCATTTCAGTAAATGTGACTACTCAATCCTGACAGTGCCAGTGTTACAGCCCCTCTTGTCTGTTGCCTACTCTTGTCTCCGACAGACCCGTGCATATGGTGGCCTTACGGTGTGCTTGCAGCAGAAAAAATTCTGCATTATCTATTACAGCGTGGCTGTCCATACAGGTACACACAGCAGAGTCCACTGCTGGGGACAAGCTCCGTGCCAACATCAGCTTGCCAGTCTGCTGCCCATCAGAGCTGGATACACCCTGGCCAGACCCAGAGCTAGGTGCAGGGCTGTTTCCGCTCTAGACAGATTACGTTGCAGCAAGCTTGCTTACAGAGAGCAAAGGTGTGCAAGATGGAGTCTGATCCTTTGGGTATTGCCAAAGTGAATAAAATTTAAAGGTATGCTTTACCTATACCAATTTTGAGCAATTCCCATCCTTAATGTAAACCTCTGTAGGATACAATGTTTGTCTCCTTAACCCAGGATATGCCTTTGTAACCATGACTTAGTTTTGCACACATACGTATGCCTCTAAAATTGTCTAGTCCTGTCTAAGCAGCATATGATATTCATTTTGGGGACATGTACTTATACCTTGGACCAGACCAAATCTATAAGCCTTAGGGGTATATAGAGTAGCTTTCATCCAAAGCTTAATTTTATTTTCAATTCCGTTGATGAATTTACTGTATTGATTTCAAAATCATAGGGCATGTTAGCTGGATGGCTAAAATTTCTTCAGAAAGAGGATTGTGTATTTATAAGGATAACAGTAATATTCAGAGTGATATCAGTAAGGGTTATAAAAATAATCAAAAGAGTTTGGTTAAGGAATTAATACATTACCACACAGAATAACAAATGAGGAGTGGGAAAATACGATTCCTCTGTGGAGGTTTTGCATAGCTGCCTCCCACTATTCTGCTTTCCTCTCCCTCTCTGATCATCAGGGCTGGACACTAGATTGTACACATCACTTTAAAGTGGTAGACCTCTTTTGCCCACCAGGTGGGCAAACATCAAGCCAATGTGGTCACTAAGATCTTAAGTCCCTCATAAATACGGTGTGGTTTTACTAAGGAGCATGAATGACTATGGTAAAAATATAGTAGAGACCAGGCATTTAAGTTTTTTTGGAGGTATATACTGTGAGCTTGGCTGTTTCATGCTGTGGGAAAAACAGTGTGCTTGTTCTCCGCTGCATTCTTACCTTGAGATTGCTTGTGCGTGTTTGTTCCTTCCAGTTCGTTCTTCCAAGCAGTGCAGACAAGCCCTCAGTCCCATCCTCCCGGAGCAGGCACAATGTGTCATTATGTCTTGCGGTGACTTTGTAATGTGGAGAAACTGGCATGGGGATGAGATCACGCTTGTTCTGTTTTCTGACCTGAAGGAATGTAAACCCACTGACCTCATATATATGCAGACGTTGGCAGATGCTTTTATTCATGCCACTTTGTAATTGAAAATTATACTTAGCCCTTATACTGCATCATGCAGTGCAGAAATTAACAGCAAGTGGTCTTACAATATGTCACTGTTGCATCCCTTGTTCCCTGGGCAGGCCTGTGAGAAGCGACCAAGAACAGAAAACCTGGCTACTGCGTTAGTTACTGCAGAGGACACCTCAGAGGAAAAAGTGTGATGGACAACGGAGTCTCTAGAGGCTACCAGCTGAATCCAGGTGAGCTGTGGGAAAATCCTCTTGAATGTCCGAGACGCCAGTTACCTGCCTCCATAGCTGCCTCCATGCAGCTGTGGGAACCCCCGTGGAAGGTGCCTGTGAATTCCCTTTGGAACGCATTCATTCCTGGCGTGACTTCTACATGGAAGTCTGGCAGTCAACAACCTCACGAGTGTGCAAACTGCACGTGCTGTCTTACCTGAAACCAGCCTTCTCCACGCTCTATTGCAGCTTAGGTTGGCCCCAGAGGCAAATCCGTGGCATCCCAGTTGAACAGGGGTTACTCCTGAAAAAGATGACATAGCCCTTTGTTCTGTTCGGGCAGGGAGTATGTTCTGAAGAGGATCCATCTCCGAGCAATACATGGAAGGAACAAGCTGTCCATGCAAAACAATTGCTATTGCAGTCTAGGTCAGTGAGAAGTTGGTATTAACCTCTAATCATATATCCTCATTTTCTCCTATAAAATTGGGTGCTCGGGCAGCATAAGCTGGACTTGAAAGGTAGAATTTACTTGACTTTAGCTTGTCTAACTCTAGTTGTCTACAGCATAGGTAGTTGAGAGCAGGGTGCAGAGGTTCCTAGTGTGCTCAAAGGATACCTTCAGCAGCATTCAGGGTAGGGGCATTTAGGTGTAGACTCCTTGGTGGCAATCACTTATACTATGTAAGAAGATTACGATCCCTGAATAATCCTATTTTAATTAATATAATTAATTATATTAATTATAACGTGCAGAGAGAGCTTCCACCAAAAATGTGCCAGAGAGAGCTCCCTGCTACTGGTGCACAGAGGATGTTCCAGGATAGGATAAAGCAGGGGAGGCACACGGGAGAGTCAGTTTTGTTGCACCGCCTTCTGCATGAGTGAAGAGTGGTGAAATGCCACTCGTCTGAGCTGACCTTGCAGAAGGGCTGCATGCCCCCAGGCAGTGGGGCAGGGACCTGGTGCCCTGCTCCCAGCTGAGACTGAGCTTGGGTGGATCAGTCTTATAGCTTGATGATGGTGTGCCCTCCAAATATTTTTTTCCAGTTGAAACAATATCTTATTCTGGATTTTCTATTAATCAGTTTCCTTTCTCCAGTGAGGTTGGGTAAAAAGCTCTACAAGCAAATAAATAAACAGAATTATAATATGTCCACATTGTGCTTAAATATAAATTATTTATTAGTATTACTTCAGCTACAATAAATAAAATAATGTCTTACAGAAAAATAAAACTTATAAAAATACTATGGTATAGCTACAGGGAAGGAAAAGTTGTTTCCATTCCAGCAACAGAGTTTTTGTATTTCCGTAAGAACCCACTTACTAACCCAGTTCAGTCCCTGCTGACTAGAGAAGTCTGGGGAGTGGAGAGGAGCAGAGATAACTAAATGTTTAAGGAAAAGCTCTGATGAGGATAATTTAGAAAGTAAGCAGCATAATAAAAGACCTGTCCATTACAACTACAGGTTATTATCCCATCCCAAACCAATCTCTCAACCCAAACAATTTTATTTTCAAATGCCTTTGAAACAAAAGCAAGCATGTACTGAAAATACAATGAGAAAATATTATAAGGTCTGTCCATTTGCATGCTATGGATTCATGAAAGATACTTCTGTATCTTTACAGGATATGTTTGTGCTATGCTCTGAATTATCTAGCTTTACTTTGATTTTCAGAAGCTGTAATGAGATGGCTCATGGTTCAAATATGTATTAGGCTGTATTAGTGAGGAAAAAAAAACCCCAACTGTTCTTGCGTTTGACATTTTAAGTGCTTTTTAGCAATGTTGAATATCCAGACAAACCAACATTACTTTGAAACATACTGTAGAAAATCATCAATGATAGTATGGCCAGAGACAATTATAAATATGTAAAATAAACAAAACTGGCATTTTCTAAATATGCTTCTAAGGTCTGATCATTTGCTCTGCATCACAAAGGATTCATAGATGTGCTACAAAGAGTAAATCTGCATATATAGCAAAATTAAAAAATAGGTCATAGTTACATGCAAAAATAACACTGCTCCTTTAAGAATGAATAGCTAAGAGTCATTATACCAGGTCCTATGTCCACACGAGCAGAGTTACTGACTCCACTGAGGATAGCTGTGGGAGCAGAGGGGTGTGAAATCAGGCCCAGTTTTTGTTTGCTTATTCTAGCATAGATCCTCCTTAGAAAAGCAAGAAAAAGGCTCTTTATTCCTGCAAAACTTGTGGCATTATCCTCTGTAACCTTCATGAGGGTGGGAAGTTAATACCAGAACCTTTGCACAGCTGCTCCCAGCCAGAGGAGTCAGCACAAACCTGGGCACTCCTTAACACAGCACTGAGTTACGCTGACCCCCCAAAATGCAAAGGGTTATTACCGCAGGAATAAATCCTCTTTCTTAGAAAGAGAGGCATAGAATTTAGGGTGGAAATGAAAAGGTTTGGTCGTGTTCCCACTGAAGCTGCTTGAAATGCGTAAGACTGAATTATCTAGGGAGTATGACAAAAGTCTGACAAAACCTGGCAGTTCTAATTAATAGTCTCTATTCAGTTGTCAGAATCCAGTGGGCCTACTGACAAGACAGAGAGATGACAGATCAGCCTCTAGTAACATCCTGTGTAGATGCCTTTAAGGTAGTAAGATATATGTTTAAAAACATATACTTAGTCATCTGCACAAATCTTGAAGTCTTTCACAGATGCCCAGATGCACAGAGAATTGTGTCTCAATTACAGATTTCCTTGAAGGAGACACTCAGTTTAACTCCCTAAAACAAGTCAAACCTGACACAAAAATGATTAATTATTGAACAAAAAGGTATCATCATGACCATCTGTGAATAAAAAGAAGGGAGATTTTTTTTTTTAATTAGCCAGATGAATAATAGATTTCAGAATTGCTAAAATGACTGCTTAACATGGTTTTGGGTGCTGCTGTTGTGTTTTGCAGTGACAGAGATTTCCATAGGAGAAAAATGTGGAATCCCAGCCTAAAATCTTACATTGCAGAGGTAATGTCTTTGTCTTCGTATTGTGCCAGAACTGGCCGTCCGCTAGGGAATGTCATTGAAATGCTTGCAGCTGCCAGTGAAAGCACATCAGCCCCTTTCACTAACTCTAGGTATGGCAGGGATTTCTACGTGGTCTTTTCTGGCAGTCAGTGCTCAGCTGCTCAGCAGATCTCCCTTTTATAAGAAATCACACCATTTCTTGTGAGACACATGCAGCATCATGTACAGGATAACAATTACGTCTGACCAGACCAAACCTCGTGGCATTAGCATTATCTCAAAGTTAGCAGTTGAATTACCGTGGGTATGTTCCTGCTTCATAATGGAGCAGTGCACAGTGGAGCTGCACCCGAGAGCAGCATCGGGTCACAGGGGGAGCTCTGAGCTGTTGATACCCCTCAGGGCATCCTTACTGCAACTGCCTTCTTGCTTTGGAGGAGGTTCTTGTTTGGAGAAGGTCCCCTCAATGTTGGAGCCCCTAGAAGAGCTTTTCTTTGTGGGAAAAAGCAGATCTGTGAAAATCCTCAGGCCAGCCTGGGGATCCCCCATTCCAGGAAGAAGCCGTAGAGCCTTTGGGAAACAGCCTATACCTGTCTTCTGCAGGCTGTGGAGGAAAGTTTATCTGTGTCTCCTGACTGTGTACTGATGTGCACTAACCGTGTTTGTGGGTAAACACAGCAGAGAGTGTACTTCCAGCTTAAAGGAGGTAAGGTCAGCATGGCAGGCTGAGGGAGCAGAGCTGAGCTCACAGCTGAAAAGGTCTGGTCTCCACTGCTCGCACACAAGGACAGTGACCATGCACGACTTGCACCACAGCCGAGTATTTAGCCAGCGGTAAGCACACTCCTGGCAGCAGAGAGAAAGCAAGAAAGTGAACAGTGACAGAAATAGGCCTTCAGGTTGGTACTTCAGTCTCCATATCAACCCTGTGAGTGAATTCATATACCCTCAGCTGATCAATTTTCTTTCATCTGCATAGCTGTGTTAAGATCCACAGGGTAATATAGGGTCTCCCTGCACACACACCTGCCCTGCATGAATGTCTCTTGTGCGGCTGCTGGGAGATTTTGGAGGCTGTGAGCCTATGGCAAAAAATAGGTGGGTCTGGTTTGCCTAGTCATCATGTTTAGTATTATACATGCCATGATGATGAAGCACTGTAAATCATGAGTCTGCTTGCATTCACTGACAAACCGGTCATGCAAAAGGCTCTTTGGAGTAGGAATTCAGCAGAAGGCATTTTACATCTGTCAGAAATAATTCAAGGGTGTGGAGTGACTCATTGGGAACTGCATGAATAATCAAGAATTCATTTTCAGTAAGACAAAGCCATGAACTTTTGTCTGGCACATCAGTGGGGAACATGTTCCCTGTGTTAGGGATTGTGTTCTGGGGACTGATGCTAGCAAAAATCCCAGAAGGAGGGATTTTTTTTCAATGAAAACAGACTGGCCACTTTTAAAGTGCAGTTTTGTGTATGCCAATATAGCATGGATGTAAGACTGCAAAGCTCAGAGTAGAAAATAAAACTCTGAAAGCAGGCAAGCCTTGCACTGGTGTGTGGTCAGAAGAGTTTCTGCTGTAATCAGACAAGTGATATCACATCTCAAGGTGTGTCAGTTTCCTAAATCAAAACAGTATTGCAGTGAATCAACAAAATAAATCCACAGGCTTAAAGCAGGCGTGGGTTGGGATCAGTCCCAGACAAAAGCCCTTTCCCACCACCAGGTCATTCTTCCCTCGGGAAGGCTTGCAGAGCACCTGCCCTGCAGCAGGACTGCAAACCTTCACGTAGACGACAAGAGGGGCTTCTCTGCCCGAGCAGCCTCTGGCTCCTGTGTTTGTCTCCATCCCTTTTCCCAGGCATCTCTCCTAAACGAAGCTCTTCTGCAAAGGGGCTGAGGTGAATCTGTCAGCGATGTCTTACTTACCATAAACAAATTCTCAGAATATATACCTTAACCTGTCATGACCCTCATATGTAATGGTCAGCAGGACCTGCATGTGCAGAAAGGTGACTGGAAGAAAATGAGGGTAATCAGTGAGACATCTTTCCTACCCAGACCCTGGGGATACCTTCTCTACCGTACAAATCTAATGAACACTTCTTGAGATATCACTCCTTAGATTCTTTTTCCAGAACAGAATTCTGTTTTAATTATAATCAGGTAACATGTTAGGTAAACAGCTAATAAGTCTAATTAATAGACAGAATGAATAGCTTTGAGAAGCAGTCGATACCAGGTAATCCTTAAAAATAAAGGATTAAACTAAAAATCAAGGCATA